ATATATATATATATATATATATATATATATATATATATATATATATATATATATATATATATATATATATATATATATATATATATATATATATACACAGTGCTTCCAGAAAGTAATAGCACACTCGTAATTTTATTATTACAGACAACTTCAAATCAATTTAAATTGTAAAGTAATTTTATTTACAAACTAGTTTTTTTTTTAATGAAAGGTAAAACCAATTAAATTTAATTAGAATGTCAAATATTTGTCAAACTACCTGTTTTTTTGATGAATTAGAAGTTTAATGACTACTCTGAAAAATGTGTGAAAATATGCGTGCAAAAGTATTAGCGCACTCATTTAAAATGCATTAGTACAACTGTTTACTTCCTTCGAGAAAAACTTTTTTGGTTAATTTTTTTTAATTACTCTCTGCTGATTAATAATAGTCAATAAAAAATATAAGAAGCTTAAGTTGAAGTGACAGATATATCATTTGAAATACAGTTAGTTAAAACTTTAAAATTTGAACAACAAAAATATGGGTTTAAAGAGCATATCAATTGAAACAAAGTGGCAAGTTGTTGGCCTGCATAAAAGTGGTCTCAGCAATCGAGAAATAGGACGTTAACTTGAAATCTGTGCATGCAGCTTTAGAACAATGTTAAAAAACCATAATGAGTTTGGAGCAGTCGAAGACAAAAGTTGCTCTAGTCATCCCAAAAAATTGTTAAAAAGGGACAAAAATAAAGCAGTTATGCTTGCTAGATGCAACCCGAACATGAGTATAGCTGAAATTGCCTCAGACTTGAATACAGCGATAGGTACACATCAAGTTAGCCGATCAACAATTAGCAAGCTGATGAAGAAAAAACAACTCAATTCATACCATGCAACAAAGAAGCCACTACTAAACATCAAAGACTGTCTCAAGCGAAGAAAATGGTGCAAAGAGAGAGCTGCATGGACTGTAGAGCAATGGAGAAAAGAATTTTCTCAGGCGAGTCAGATTTTGAACTTATTAATCGCAGAAAAAGAGTTGTCGTGAGGAGATACAAAAACGAAAAATATAATCGTTTTATCATGTCAAGAGTTCATGAAGGAGGAGGTTCAGTTGGCATTTGAGGCTGCATTGCTGGATCTAGCAATGGCCTGACGCATCTTTACACTGATCACCTTAATCAACATTGATATAGAGAGATATTAGAAGATTATTTAAAGCCATCAATGGACATTTTCAAAGTTGACTCCACCTGGCAATTTCAACAAGATAACGCTCCTTGCCACACAGCACGCTCAATTAAACAATACATGAATGAAAAACGGTTCAACCTGATGCCTTGTTCCGCTTGCTCACCTGATTTGAATCCTATTGAGAATCTTTGGAGTTGGATGGACTGTAAATTACAAAAAAGCAGGTCCACTCACTTGGTGCAGCTCAAAACGCAAATGAAAGCGTTGTGGAATACCGTGCCACAAGAACTAATCAAAAAACTTATAGATTCTATGCTGCGTAGAGTCTTGGCATGCCTTAAAAACAAAGATGGTCACATAAAATAATAAACTTTCCTAATATCTTTAAAAAACTGTAAGTGGGCTAATTTTTTTATTATTGTTTTTATCATTGTTATTGTATTCTAATTAAATTCAAGATAATAATAAAGAAATACTTTTATATAATTAGTAATTCTGCATTATTTTATGAATTAGTTAAAAAAAAATTATCAATCAGTCTTTTATTGTTTTCGAATTACAATCCTTTAAAGTTCTCTGAGGTAAAAAAAATATGAGTGCGCTAATACTTTCTGGAAGCACTGTATATATATATATATATATATATATATATATATATATATATATATATATATATATATATATATATATATATATATATATATATATATATATATATATATATATATATATATATATATATATATATATATATATATATATATATATATATATATATATATGTATATATATATATATATATAGAGAGAGAGAGAGAGAGAGAGAGAGAGAGAGAGAGAGAGAGAGAGATGGATAGATAGATAGATAGATATAGATATAGATATATTTTTATATATGCATACATTATAAAGATAATATATTAAATCTATAATAATTGTGAGATCTATGGTAACTGTGAGATGCATAATATAAATTCCATAGATTATGTTCTTTGTGTAAAAAATCCAACTGTTATAGACTTTTTAAAATTAAAATTATATTCTACTAATACTTAATAATATAAATATTGTAAACTACTCATTTGTAATTTTAATTTAACATTCAAATTTTCAGTTATGCTTAACTTATAAAGTTAAAAATTACTCTAGAATTTTAGAAATAAATTTTTTTATTTTAAGAATTTAAATTATTCTACTTGAATTTTTTTTAAACATTTTTTTCTATGATTAGGTAATGTTGGAGATAATATCATTCAAGAATATGCTCAAGCATTTTCTTCTGAAAGTCAATCAACAGTTAAAAAGGCACATAATATAAGTATGCAAAATAATCTAAAATTTCCATCAAGAGCGATTAATAAGGATTTAGAGGAAGCAAAGATTATGATTAAGAATTTAAATTTTCCTCCATATTTTTTAACTGATGAAGGTTTTTATTTAAATTTTTTAATTTATTATTTGTTTATTTTATTTTGTCATGCATACCATATATATATATATATATATATATATATATATATATATATATATATATATATATATATATATATATATATATATGCGGTATATATATATATATATATGCGGTATATATATATATTATGCAGTAGTGGTGTAGTGGTAGAGCACTCGCTTCATAAACGAGTGGTTCCGAGTTTGATCCCCACCACATCCCTGGTAGTACCGCGCTCAACTCGTTTCTCCGCGCAGCGGCCTTGTTCGTCAAGGTTCGTGTTTCGGAGTTATAGAGTTGAGAGAGGGTTATAGCCACAAAATAAGTAGCCTCCTTGTCTGTAGTGGCCTTCTCGGCCTTGAGGAAGTGAAGTAAAATAAAATATATATATATATATACAGCATGGAAAATAAGAAATCGAAGGTGAGTGGTAAATTTGACCGCTCGCCTTTGATTAATTTTTTGCAATGAATGAATTATTTTAAGATAATTCATTCATTGCAATGGCAGGAAAAAGCTACAAGTAAAATCTCTGATTTATATCTCTGATAAAGTTATAAATAATTTTTTTTTAAATAACTAATTTTTACATTTTTTTAAATAACTAATTTTTACAGTTTTTTAAATGAGCAGAGATAAAAAAATAATTTATATCTCTTCTCATTTGAAAAGCTGTAAAAATTATTTAAGACTTTATTAACATTTGTGCACAAATTTTTTTCTTTTTAAACTTGATAACTAATACTAAGGAGTTTTTTATGAAACACTTCTACAAAATTTACTAGTGTTTCATAAAATGAGATTTTATTAGGATTCCTTTTATAGAAAATTTTGAATTTACCTATAAATCATTTATTTGTTTATTATATTTGCAGCAAAAACTTACAAGAAAATAAATAATAGATTTAAAGAAAAAAAAAAAAAGGCAACTATATACATTTAAAAGAAAAAATGTTCTCAGTTAAATACAGCAATTATTTTATTTTTATATTATTATAAAAATAATATATTAAATATTTTTATTAAAACAATAATAAAGTTAGTTCTTTAATCATTTATGAAAAAGAGGTTTTTAACCACCATTTAAATGAAAGTAATTAAAATAAAGAAAAGCAAAAAAATATATAATACCTATAGTTTACAACATAAATTTGCCAACAAAGCAAATTAAGTAACATGTCACAAACAATAAAACTATTTTAAATGCTTATTTAAAATTTAAATGATTTCATGAAATTTTAGTATATGTATTTTCCAAATTACATAATGATTATTTGTATAACTTTTTAATGTTATGATTTTTTTTTCAACTGTTTAAACATGACCAGCAAAATATCATTTTGGGAGGTCAAAATAGCAATTTTTTTTATTTCAGGCAGTCATTGACCATTAAGTGGCCATTATTTACCACACTGTATGTATGTATGTATATAAATATATCGTTGTTGTATGTATATAAATATATCGTTGTCGTATGTATGTATATAAAAATGTCGTTGTCACTTTCTACTTAGTCATTTTCACTTGTATTTTCTAGTAGGTCATTATTGTCATCTGAGGATGATGATAACTCTTTGTTCGACTCTTGCCCTTTTCTCATTATTCTTGGTATTTTTGTTATTCTTTGATGTGGTAGGAGTTGTGTTATTCACCAGATCTTGTGGTGTTATCACTTTGCCAGGTGTGATCTTTTTTCCAGCGGTCCAGCGGTTGAAGCAAATGGTTAGCGTTGGGCAGCAAGCATACAAAACAAATATTGTTCTCAATGGACAACTGTACAACCTTGTTTGTAAAGTGTGAAGCTAGGTTGTCTCCAATTACCACTTTAATGCCTTTATAAGTCACCATTGGTGGAATAAAAGTTCTATCTGCACTGCCACAATACATGATGCTTGTTGCGGACTTGGAATATTGTATTTTTTGCTCAACATGCTTAACACTTCTTTGACATGCAACTGTTTTTGAACCAGGATCACCCGTCACACTTGTTACATCATAATTGTATATATGACTAGCTGGCACATCTTCAACTACATGTTGCAATTCATCAAAGTAAAGGTTGATATTCAATGCGTCGATCTTGGCACATGCTGGTTTCACATTGTCTGCCAACCTCTGGGTCAAATTGTTTTGTTTTATAAAAGATTTGAACCAGTTGTCACCGGGAACATTGTTTTTGAACTTTGAATCATGGGCACCAGATCGATCCAAGTAATCTTTCTCTAGAAGTTTGATGTCTATTGAAGTTAATGGAATTTTCCAGTTAGAGAGGGTGTTGATTGAAGTTACAAGTTGTGTTTCAGTCTCATTACTCAGATGGAATGGTGTCCCTACCTTCTTCGAATTTCAATTTTTACACTTGTTTTGTAGTGTACCCAATGGAATTCCAAGCTGTTGACTAGCCTTTCGCACGCTCATTCTTCCAGTTAAACATGCTTTCATTGCATTGGACAACGTTTCTTGACTGTATGTAGTTGCATATGCTCTTGAACCAGGCTTTCGCTTATATTTCCTTGACATTTTCACCAGCTAAGAATCTAAATGGTTCAATAAACGCATCAAAAATGTCAAAAAACATCAAAAATGTCAATGTAGTCTACGAAGTAACTGTGCTATATTCACAAAAATTGTTGATATACCAAAGTTGTTGATATAAATTGTTGATATAATTGTTGATATATATTGTTGGTATCTGTAATAAAACTAAAACATATGTTATCTTTGGTAAATTTAAGGAATTTAAAAAAAGATTAACAATTGACTAAAGTTACCCCGGCGACCAAAGTTACCCCTGTTGACTGCAGTGTTTTTGTTTTTGTGTTTTTAAAACATATTTTTAAAACACGCACAAAGTGTTGCTATATTGACTATCTTATAGCTTGCTGCTACAAGGAAGTGCTGCTACATTGGCTGAGCAATCTATTATTTAAAAAAAAAACTTTATTCAAAAACTTTTTTTGGTCTGGCTTATTTGTGCCCTTGTCTTATATATAATAACTGCATAATGTTCTGTTTGTTTTAGAATATCTATTTAAACATATAAGCTGATACCAAAATAAGATTCAATAATGTTATATCTGCATGTTTAGCATATATAAAAAAAAGAACCAAAAATTGACTTTAAATATTATTGCATTCTTAAACACAGTTTTCCATTTTATTTCAGTTTATTATTTGTATCATTTTATTCATTTTGTTAAGTTCTTTATTTTTTCACATTATGATTCTATAGTTTTGTTAGTAATTCCAAACAAGTGTAAATTAATACATAAAATTGCTTAGGAACTTATCAAAAGCCAAAAATATTAATTGAGCTTTTATTGCACAAATCAACTTTAAACAAGCTTAGAAACCTACAACTTTCAAAATTCAAAAACTGGTTTAACTATAAACTATGTCATTATTTTATATATTAAATATATAAACATGCAGCATTATATATTTGGTATTGCGCTGCATAACATAAGTTTATATCTAAGTGTTTATGTTGAACTTGATTTGTATGTTGTTACAATAATAACTGTTATACTGAAGTGAAAACTTTTTTATTAAAAGTAAACTTATTTACTCTTTTCTATTCTCCACTCAACTGTAAAACTCTTTAACAAAAAAACTTTGATGCTATTTTACTGAAAAATTACATATCTACTAATAGAATAAATTTGCTAAAAATAGACTACATACTCCTATAACATTTTAAAATTATGTTACATCTCAATTGATTACAATTGGTAACAAGGTTACATTTTCTAATTTTTAATTAGATATTAGGTAATAAGCTTGATAACACATTAAATATTTGTTTATAAATTGCTATATTGCTAAATATCATCTTTTATTTATATTTTATTGTAAAATAGCTTCATCTCAAATAAAGTTTTAACTTGTAACGTTTTGTCTCAGTTGTTATTTTTTTTACTTTCAAATTGTAATAGATTGTGGCACTTCATAAATATTTCAATATTTATGAAGTGCCACAATCTCCTAATGATTTAATTATTCGTTACACTTTAAAAAATTAAAAAAAAAATTAAAAAATTAAGACTTAATGTAATGTAAAAAAATCTATATTTGTGACTATATTTAAATCATGTTTTAATTCTTAAATGTTGTTTGTTACGTCTTGATTAGTTACACTTTTAAAGATAATAAAACAAATAATTAGATTGCTTAAGCAACTTTTTTTAAAGATAATAAAACAAATAATTAGATTGCTTAAGCAACTTTTTTTAAAGATAATAAAACAAATAATTAGATTGCTTAAGAAACTTTTTTTAAAGATAATAAAACAAATAATTAGATTGCTTAAGCAACTTTTTTTAAAGATAATAAAACAAATAATTAGATTGCTTAAGCAACTTTTTTTTCACATTATGTTACTTCTAATGATTTAAATATTTTATTGACTTTTGAAAAGTTTTTTTTTAAAAAAAACTTTTAGTATGCACAAACGTATTAATGCATTTACAATATTGATAATAAATAATATTGTTAACAAAATAATTATATCAAGTGCCATATTTTATTTATGAGTTATGGTACTTAACAATGCGTTTGTTGAGACATTTTTAATTAAAAAAATTTTTTTTTAAATTGCTAATTATTATAGTTTATATTTATTGTAAAATAGAATCCCACTACCATCGTGCATCTAACAACTACCTTAAAGCTGACTGGGACTCTTTCTGTGATTTTCTTTGTGATGGCCCTTGGGTAGAAATTTTTTGTCTTCCTGTTGAATAATGTGCTTCTTGCATAACTTTGTGGATTCAGGCTGGCATGGAATCCTTTATTCCCTCTCGATGATTTCAGGTCAAGCCTCACTTATCTCCATAGTTTTCCTCACATTGTGCTGCTGCAATTGCCAATCGAAACCATTACTTCCATATCTATCAGCAAAGTAATTCTCCAGAAAACTGACGTTTGTTTATTACTGCCAGGAACCATTGTAAAAAGGTTTTGTCTAATGTCAAATCCCACTATTCTCAGGTCATGAAATCTCGTCACAAAAATTAGGCTCTCGTGACTTCTGGAGAACCTTAAATAGTATCAATAATAAGGACAAGTCTGTAATCCCACATCTTTTGTATCGTTCAAACTTTGTCACCTCACCTAAAGACAAAGCCGAATTGTTTGCTAAGAACTAATCATCAATATCTCTTGGTTCCACTAGTTGCGTTCTACCTGATATAGCCGTCAAACAGGTTGATCAATTGCTTGACATTTGTATCTGGAAACATCATTGAAATTATTGAATCCTTCCTTTCCAATCGTAGTATAAAAGTTGTCCTTGATGGACAGCACTCTTCTTCTTATTCTGTAACCTCAGGGATTCCTCAAGGTTCAATCCTTGGCCCTATATTCTTTTTAATTTACATTAACGATCTTCCATATACTCTCACATCTAAGGTGGCATTGTTCGCTGATGATACTACCATTTATTCTTGTCATGATAAGAAGCCAACTCTCTCTGATTGCTTGGAGGGAGCATTTGAGCTTGAAAAGGATTTCACTTCTGCTACAGCATGGGGCTCACAGTGGCTGGTGAACTTTAATTCAGATGAAACTCAATTTTTTTCAGCCAATCGTTATCGCAATAATTTAGAGCTTCCTATATTTATGAACAGTAATGTACTCAATGAGTCATCTACCCTTCATCTTCTAGGTCTAACTCTTACTTCTGATCTTTCTTGGAAACCATATATCAAATCCATTGCAAAATTATCTGCTAAAGTTGCATCTCTTTATCGAGCTTGACACTTTCTTACTCTAGATTCTATTCTCTATCTCTATAAATCTCAAATCCGGCCTTGTATGGAATACTGTTGCCATATCTGGGGCGTATCTTCTAATGATGCCCTTTCTCTTTTAGACAAGGTGCAAAAACGCATTGTAAACATATTTGGACCTGCTCTTGCAGCCAACCTTCAACCATTATCACATTGTTGTAATGTTGCTTCTCTTTCTCTTTTCTACAAATACTATAATGGGCACTGCTCTAAAGAGCTATCGTCTCTTGTGCCATCTACTAAAATTCACTCTCGTGTTACTCGTCATTCAGTTAAGTCTCATCTTTTTTCTGTAACTGTTCCTAAGTGCTCCAAAAACTCTTATTTATCCAGTTTTTTTCCTCGAACATCAGTTGTTTGGAATTTGCTTCCTTGGTCTTGCTTTCCTGATTCATATAATTTGCAATCTTTTAAGTCGTCTGTCAATCATTATCTTGCTCCACAATCTTCATCTTTTCTTTTCCAGTAACTTCCAACACTAATTAGTGGTTGCTTGCAGCCTTGTTGAAAGCTTGTTGGATAAATCACAAATCCACCGATTTATAGTATAATTTGAAAATTTCACATGGAATGCAAAAAAAATCTCTCATTAGGTCAAAATTTTTAATTTTTTTTACATTATATGTTATGCCTCAGTTATGTAAAAATAACATATATTTTGCATGTAGCGTTACATTACAGTGTTATGTATTGTTACGTAAAATGTTACATTTTGGTTATGTAAAAAATAACAGACATAGTGCACATAACGTTACATTACAATGTTACATATTAAAAATGTTATGTCTCGGTTACATAAAAATAACAGACATTTTGACCATAACGTAATGAATCTCATTAAAGTTACAATGCGTAACATATAATCAGTAATGTATATCAATTTTTTTAAAGAAATCTTGCACTTGAGTCAAAACCTTTTTGTGGTGCAGTGACCACTAGACGAATTCAAAAATAAGATGCTAAGCTAAAACCATTGACATATGTATAATGTGCAGACATCTAAAAATTTATATAGATAACTGGCAAAAATAGGACTTAGCATTTTTTTTTTTTTACATTTCACAAAAGTTATATATTTTTTAATTTGTTCAGGCCAAGCATTTCTTTCTGCTAATAGTATTAACTCTGATCTACATAATTCTGTGACACCTGGTAGTATTGCTTCATTAAAAAAAGGTCAGTTTAAAGTTTTTATTTAACTAATATAAAATATTTGAAATAACAAAAAGTTGTTTAAGCAAAGTCAAAATTTAATTTGTTTTTGTTTTGTTTTTTGTTTTCTAAAAAATGAGTAAAAGGAAAAAAAAATGAAAAGCCTCCTTGAATTTAGTTTTCATATTTAAAGAGATGAAAAAAAAAAAACATTGCTTTATTTTTTTTTCATTATTGCATCTTTTATAATTATCAGAATTTTAAAACATTTTGTTATTCAAATAATGCTAAATATTAAAATATTCAAATGATGCTAAATATTAAAATAATTAAATGATGCTATTAATTAAAATATTCAAATGATGATAAATATTAAAATATTCAAATGATGCTAAATATTAAAATTTTCTGTAAAAACCTTTTGAAAGTTGGAAATTTATCTTTAAAAAAATTTGAAATTGTTAAATAATTATTTAAAAAAAAAATAGAACTGCTAAATTTTATTAATAGTTTTTGTAAAAAAGTCTCATTCAAATATCCATTTTAATTTCCAGTTTAAGTATCTTTATCACAAAAATAAAAGTAGTTATAACAATAAAAGATAGTAAATAAATATCGTCTTATATTTGAGCATGTTACTTATTTAGTGTTTCCATGGTTTTCAATACTGTTTCCAAATATGGGTTTTTTACTGTTTTTAAAATTTGTCAAACTAACGCAATGAGTATTGGCAAAGTAAGATACGCAGACAGATGCATATCTAAGGGAAATTTCCTTCAAATCCTTTTGCACAAATGCTATTCAGAAAATCTAAGGCCCAATCATCTGTCAGGAGATGACGTCAAATAGACTAAAGTGTTCTGCAACTCATCAATAAAATTGTCTCCACTAAGATCATTTGGATACAGATGTACGAGATCTTTAACTTTAGATTCTTTGACTGTTTGTTAAGTCCGAATTGATGTCAGGCATAGACCAGATAAAGAAAAATAATCTACATTGCTGTTTCAGAGCTTGAAATCTCTCTGTAATGGATGAAGGTAACAAAGTAAACAATTTTTACTTCTTTATTGGATGTTTCCAATTTTTTATTTGATGATGCCCCCAAAACGTGATGCTCTGTTTGCACTTATGTACTTGTTGTGAATTTTGTAAATAAATGGCAAAAAATAGAAGTTATTTTTTTTTTGCTGTTTGCAAACCACAAATTAGTAAAAATATGTTTATTAACTAGTTACTTTTCATGTACTTATTTTATTTTATTGCAACACTACGATTCCCTTTGAACAATTTGTATAATTATTTTTTGAAAAGTATTAATGATTGCAACATTACAATTCCCTTTGACATTATTTACGCATGAATAAGTTTATTAATGAAGATATATATCAGCTGTAGCATTAGCGTTAACTTAAAAACTAAAGTTTTTAAGTTAACGCTACAGCTATTATAGCTTTAGTTTAAAGTTTTTATAATAATAGTTTATATATAAGAAACAATATTTTTTTTAGCATTATAAAAATTATACATTTAATTATAATATCTAAAATATCTACTTATATTAATAAATGGTATACAAGTAAGTAACTTTATTTGCGTTTTTTTTTCTTTACTTTACTTTACCAATAAAACTTTTACTGAACCAATAAAAGACAAGTACAAAAAAAACATGCCAAAACAAAGTGCTTCTGTCTGGAAGTATTTCACAAAATCATACGATTCAGCTAGTGAAGCAAAATATACCTTTTGTAATTCTTTTATAAAATGCAAAGGTTCAAGCACATCTGGTCTGATTACCCACATGAGAACTATCCATAGCATAATATTAAAAAATAAGAAGTTAGATAAAACATCTGTTGCAGAAGTTTTGAAAAAAAAAAATAAAAGTAGATGGATTTTTTAAACGTGAAACCTTGGCTGAATTGCTAGTGAAATGTGTCAAAAAGGATCGCATGTCTTTAAGAACAATTATAAAATCTGATGCAATACATGAGTTTATTTAGAAACATGGTTTCCAAAAAGTCAAACCTCAGTCGCAAAACTAATAATTTCGTTTTACAAGATAACAAAACTAGAGCTGTGTGATGAAATTTCTGTTTTGAAAAAATGTGGTGAAAAGTTCAGCATAAAAGTTGATGAATGGACTGTCATCTCCATTAAAAGGTTTATAAATGTAGCTCTTCACAATAAAGTTGCTTATAAATTAGGTTTTGTTAAAATTAATGGTTCCTGTGAACCTTTCACAACCAAAGAATTAGTTAAACAAAAATTGACAGAATTCGGTTTAGACTTTTTATACATAATTGTGTCTACTCATAATGGTGCTGCAGTAATGCAAAAATATGGACTGATAATTCCAGTAGAAAGTCAGCTGTGCCAAAATCATGGTATTCATCTAGCCGTAACCGATGTTTTCTACAAAAATTTACATACCAGCAAACCAAACTTGTTCGAGTGACGAATCAAATAAAGAAGATGCAGATGAATATGGTAATGCAAACGATTACAAAGAACTTTTGAAGAAGATAACGATTCAGATTCTGATTATAATGACAATGTTTATGTTAAGAGATTGAATTGCAGCAACATTTTTAATAATTTCATAGAGAAAACTGCTCATGAAAACAGCAACAGAACATTTCGAGATGATATCAAGTCTGTATTTAATAATTCACGTAAACTGATTAAATTTTTTAAATTGTCAAGCATTCATAGCTCCAAATTGCAAAAGCATGTTTTCGAACAAAGAATTAAAAAACTGATATTAAAACTTGACATTAAAACTCGGTCAAGTTTTAATGTCAAGTAAAAACTTGACCGAGTTTTTACTTGACATTAAAACTTCTTACTAATTTTTACTAATCTTTCAATCATTGGAACTCTTTGATTCCCATGATTGAAAGATTAGTAAAAATGAAACCATGCATTCAAATAGCAGTTTTAGACATTGAAACAAGTAATTTTTATGAGGAAATTGATTTTAAAGTTTTACAATATATTTTAAAAGTGTTAAAACTATTTGGCTGTTAAGGAGCTAAGTAAGGATAATTTAAATATTCTGACCAGTGAAGGTCTTCACATGTTTTTGTTCAAAAATCTTTCTGAACAAACATCTAACTTAAGCGTAGTGATGCTAGATTCCCTCAAAAAAGCTATACGATGAGTGACACAAAGATTTAGTGTTACTAATGAGATATTTGCAAAACCCTAACTCAAATACATCACAAAACAACAATGGCTTCAAATATTCATCAAATTCATCAATTATTTGATATGCAAAAAATTTTAAACAAAGTTTTAAACAAAATTTTACCAAAGTATAGGATAGTGTCAATGTTGAATCATTGAATGAAGAAGCCAATAATAACCCTAAGACTCAGTTACAACAATTTCCAAGCAAAGATGGTTTCTTACCAACCCTAGGTTTGTTGTTCTGATTCATTTTCAGAGATATTATGGGAGTTTAGGCTGTTTGAAGCAAGTGGAGTTCGAACATCGAGTTTAAATATGATTGATGCTGCTCTCAAAACAATTCAGCCCACGTCAACATCCAGCAAAAGAACTTTTTTGGTTGTTGGTAAATTTTAACTAAGCTACAAAGCCAAATTATGATACATTAAATGAATTAATATTTTAAATACTATTTTTTGGAACGTTAAATTATTGAGTTATAGCTGCTTGATAAAATATTTTTAACATTTTCAAATAATATGTTTAGTTTTTATAAATTAAAGAGTAAAATAAAATAAAATAGAAAAAGAAAAGTGTGTAAATTTTTTTTTTCTATTTTATTTTTTCTTCTCATAAAGTTTTCTAAGGATTTGGCTAAATTTTTTTAATGTTTTTTATAAATACCGCATAATACTGGTTTATACCAATATTGAACTATTTTGAATACCAAAAACCGGTATTATAATTTTCCGGTATTTTCGAAACTCTATACTTATTTATAAAATTTTCAAATTTATAATTTATATTTTAATTATTTTTTGTATCTATTTCTTTTATTTTATTGTATCTATTACTTTAAATATTGAAAAAAATATTTTACAGATGAAAGCTTAATCGCTTTACATCAACCGGTTTCTTCAAAGGAGTTTGGTAACATGCCTTTGTGTGGCTCATCTATAGTTAATGATTCTATTCAAGAATCATTCTCATCGTTTAATAACATAATTAAAAAAGAAAAAGAATTTTATGAAAATGATTCTATTTATAATAATAATTCTAAAGGTATTAGTTATTCTAATAATTTATAATATATTTGTTTGTATATGTAATATATAAAGGTGAAAAGGTATCTTAGGTGTGCTCTAATATATTTAGCATTTTTTAAGTTTTAAAATGCAGACTTTAAATCAAACTGTTTTTTCAGACTTAATACATTATTAAATTTTGTATCACATCTTAATATATCAAAATGTGACTCAAAAACTGACAAGACCAAATTTGTAACAAACATGTTAAATAGTCCATATCACAAAATTATGTCAACAACAAAGTATTTGTTTTTGATTTTAAATGATGTCACACACACAAAAACATGAACATTATTTTTTTGTTTATTTATAGAAACTACAAGTATTGTTGACAAGGGATTTTCCATTAAAAAGGTTTGTTTTTTTTTTTAATTTTAATTGATAAGTTTCTAAATAGTAATATTTAAATTTATAAAATATATTTAACTATATATTATTACTGAAGAAAATTTGTAGATTTAATTTTGTATCTTTGTATATTAATTTATTTCATTTTATAGACTTTTGGTGAAACAAAAACACCTGAGTGTTCACAAAATAAGCAGTTAACACCAAAACTCAAAGGTTTCATAATTTCTCCAGATTTTGTTGATTTCGGAATCTTAACAGAGGGAAATACTTACATGTTTCCGATATCAATAAAAAATGTAGGACTAGCTTCTAGTAGATTTAGTATTAAGCAACCACCTCCATCTACTGGCCTAAAGTTGGTCTATAATCATGGTCTGGTAAATATTTTTTAGTTTAATTTTTATTATATTTAAAAGTTTTAAGAAAGTTATAACATTTTATAATCATTACTTTACTTTGTTACCTTTGTCATGTTGACTGTTCTGTTAGATTTTATTCACAAAGCTTTTGTTTCATTTTTTTGTTGTTTCTATTGTCATTCACTTGTATTAAAACATGAATGAAAACAATACAATCTGTGATCATTGTAACCATTTAGTTAAAAGGTTTGTATGCAAAATTATTACCAAAACTTAATTTTTAAGTTTGTTTAAGGTGTTATAATTATTTTTTTAAGGTTGCTCCAGGAATGAGTAAAGAAATTAATTTAGAGATATTTGCTGTGGCAGTTGGAGTTGAGGGAGACAGTGGTATTGGTCAGGTTTATCATAAATTAGATATAATCACTGAATTAGAAACATTATCATTGCCTGTTATAGCAAGTATGGTATTTTGTATACTTCTTTACTTCTTTTGTATACTATATATATATATATATATATATATATATATATATATATATATATATATATATATATATATATATATATATATATATATATATATATATATATTACTAGAGCACTATTAGAAGCACTTTTTCTACTCAAACGTTTTTCGACCTAAAACAGCAATTTTATATATTTCTGTTACTTTATATATATATGTATTTATATATGTATATAAATATACTCTTGTATGGTAGTTGAAAAGAGTTTCCCATAAACTGTAGTTTTAAAGAGCGCGTTAATAAACCAGACCAGAAAAAGTTTAAAAACTTAAATTTTTTTTTTTTTTTAAAATGATAGACTGCCTGCCCAAACCAAACCCTCAGTGGATGTAGCAGCACTCCCTTGCGAGTCAGGCTATTTGTCAGTCGATGTAGCAGCACTCTGTTGCGAGTCAGGCTATTTGTCAGTCGATGTAGCAGCACTCCGTTGCGAGTCAGGCTATTTGTCAGTTGATGTAGCAGCACTCCGTTGCGAGTCAGGCTATAAGATAGTCAATGTAGCAACATTTACGCATGTTTTTAAAATGTTTTTTAATAAAATAAAAACAAAAACATCACTAATAAAAAAAAACTTTCTAGTCGTTATAATTGCGGTTTTTTAAAAAATTTTTAAAAAACAATAAAATTTAATGTACTTCCGCATTAATTTAATTGCTTTGACATTTCGACGACAATCAATTACAGCTTAAGAGTCAAGGTAATTAAAATTGTAGTCGTAAGAGACTTTTTTTACATTAAAACGCTCTTTCGACTACACTATATGGATATATATAATATATATATATATATATATATATATATATATATATATATATATATATATATGTATATATATATATATATATATATATATATATATATATATATATATATATACATATATATATATATATATATATATATATATATATATATATATATATATATATATATATATATATATATATATATATATATATATATATATATATATATATATATAAAGTAACAGAAATATATAAAATTGCTGTTTTAGGTCGAAAAACGTTAAGTAGAAAAAGTGCTTCTAATAGTGCTCTAGTATATATATATATATATATATATATATATATATATATATATATATATATATATATATATATATATATATATATATATATATATATATATATATATATATATATATATATATATATATGTATATATATATATATGTGTATATATATATATGTATATATATATGTATATATATATATATATATATATATATATATATATATATATTAGGTATATGACTATAAAAAAATATTTGGAATTTTTTATTGCCCCTATTGTTATGAGTGGACATTTATCATTTCTTCCAAGAATATATCATTAAAAAAGTTACAAGATCTTGTTATGTATGTTATTCTAAGTTCCTATAATTATTTTTCATCAATAAATTTCATATTTATTAGTAATCTAATATTTAGATTTCAATAACCTGTTTCTTCTGGCACCAACACAGCATTTAACTGATTGTTTACTATCTGGAGAATTACAACTTTGGAACTGCAATGTCTAAAAACATGCCTCCTTCAGAGAAGAACAAGGAGATTTGGTCTTCAAATCTAATGCAATTTCAAAAGTGCAAAAAGTCAAGAAAGTATGCTACTATTGACAGTCTTGATCAGATGCGAAGAATTCCAATGGAGCAGAATATCTTCAACAGATTTAAAACTCTGGCTTCTGAATGTAAAAAGCAAATTGTAATGATAGCAGATGAAGTGAAAGGCCTATGGAATAATTTGAATCTGCCAATTCAACAAGGTAGATCTATGGTTGCATGAAATGTTGAGAATGTAATAAAAACTTATAAAAAACATGCTTGAAGACCTGGAAACAATGATTTTAGTAAGTTGTTTAATGTAACAGATGAGAAATGAGAATGATTGTGCAGAGAAGACAGGGAGTTTTATGAACTGCAGGTTTCAATAAAAGGGAAAGTAGGATATTGTAGTAGGATACATCCAAGAAAAGTGAAGATGCTTAAAAGAAAAGTATCAGTCATGCAAGAGTCTATTGAAGAAAGAAGTGAAGAAGATTTGGAAACAGTTACAGAAACAGAAAAATCTATGAGTGAAGAACAAAGTTATAATAGCAAAGAAGATTATGCGAAATCTTCTTCCAGTAAAAGGCAAAGAACTGATTCTGCAGTATGTTTGGTAACTGCAACAAAACTGAGTACAAGGATGGCCCACAAGGTATGTGAAACTTTGTCCAAAAGCGGAGTTTCCATACCTATTCCAATTCAGAGTGGCATCTACAAAGCAGTAATAAAAGACGGAGAAAAGCTAAAAAAAATTTCAAAGAAAATTTAAAAAATGAACACTGGTGTTTACACTTTGATGATAAAAATATACAGAAGGAATATCAGGTAGTTGTTTTGAAAAATAAAACTAGGGAAGTCAGACTTGCTGTCCTTTAATTGACAAATAGAAAATGTGAGACAATATTTAATGGAATAAAAACTGTGCTTGATGAATATGAACTATGGCCCTCAATAAAAATGATTGTTTCTGATACAACTGCAGCTAATACTGGAAAAAATCTGGGAGCTGTCACACTGCTGCAGAAGCACTTTGAATACATTGGATTAAAAAAACCTGTGTTTATTGGTTGTCAACACAATATTCTGGATACGATATTGAAACACGTCATGATTAATCATTTTGGGGGAACAACAAATTCACCAAACATCTGTTATTCCTTTATTTCACAAATAAAAGGACACTATGAACAATTGAAGAAATCATTTGATAATACAGGAAAAGAACAGGAGAAAGAAGAACAGGATTGCTGGTGAGATGACATGTCCTTTCTTGATCACTTAGTATCATGCTACAGGTATTTCAAAAGTACAGGAAATTTCCCAAAATTTCCAATCACTTCTATCTATCAGTAATGCAAGGTGGAAATCAAGAGCCATTTATGTTTTGCTTAGTTTCATTCTGATGCCAGAGTTTAGACAAACAGCAAATGAGGCTTTGCGCTCATTGAGGAAGTTTTGGTCAGTGGATCCTACGCCTATAGCAACCCAGCATTCAAATATCTGTGCTGAGCGTGCCATTAAAGTAATGCAAGACCTGCTTGCACTCTGCAGATCGACTGAAAAGTTGAATGTAAAATTTTTTTTAAGTAATGAACATTAGAAAAATACTGGTATATTTATTTATTGGTGATGTATTGTAAAATGTAAAATGTTATTGTAAAATGATGCAACTTTTTTGTGAATATACTTACCTGTTATATCTTAGACACATCATTTTCTCATTTGAAGGGTGAACTTTTTTTAAGCAAAAAGAAAAATACTTACTTATTCGTTATTTGTACACAAAACCTCCACTTATTATCATATGGGCATATAGAGTTATGAAATTGTCATATCCCTACTATATATATATGTAAATATAATATATATAATTATATTTGTATTTAATATATATATATATATATATATATATATAATTATATTTAGATAAATAAAAACAACTGATTAGCGGGACTTAAAGTTTCATGCCCGAAGGCAATCATCAGCCGTTAATACAAACAAAAAACGTAAACAAACCGTTACAAAAACATAAAAATTACTGTAGAATGACATCTGACGTTATAAACAAATCTACGTAAAAAACAAATCAAAAAACAAAAAACAAAAAGCCGTTATAGTTTAATTGTCCCCTGTGTCAAATAAAGATAATAGGAATTTTTTTGAATGCCGACACTGAGATACGATTTCGTTTTTTTTATTCAGTAGATTTTTTCCATTATGCGATAAAATTACATATTTTTCGTAGAGACAAAGGTGGCATATTTTTGTTGCTAGATTGTAAAGTTTACAACGTTTGACAATTTTCCATTCTATAATGGGCTTTATGTTTTGGTCTTTTAAACTCCATATTTCCTTAGATAGTTCTGTGTCATTTCTATATTTAATTGATGCAAATGATTTGAGATGGTTTGCGTATCTTAGTTTAAATGGTGTATTACTAATGCCAAAATATACTTTTTTATTACAATCATGATGACTGGAACTTACGGTTGCTTGATAGACAATATTGTTAGATAAACATTGATTGTTCAAAGGGCAAAATGCTTTATCTACGCAGTTACATTGGTTGGTTTTTAATTGATTTTTCTTGTGTAAAATTTTGGAATTATGCGAATTTATGATAGATTTTAGGTTAGGCATGCAACTGTAGCTAATTTTAACAGAATTTCGGTTGAATATCTTATGTAGCTTGTGACCGGCTGGAAAATGTAAGTCAATAAGGGCTAGAAAACGGTTTCCTATTTTTGTTTTGACGTTTAAGCTGAACGGAGGGTTATACCAAATAATATTACGTTTACGTTGCTTTTTTTGTTGATTTTGACTTGAGATTATTTGTGGTTGGTAGGTAAGGTTCGATTTTTTTTAAAGCCTCTTCATACGGTGGAATAGCCTTTTTGAAGAAATTTTTATTAATTGACATGGAAGATAATCTTTGTTCGATATTGCGAGGGATTGCTTTTATTATGCTTGGAGGGTGGTTAGAATTAGAGTGGATGTACCTTATTTGATTATCAGGTTTAAAATATGGTTGAAACGTACCGTTACTTAGATTTAACGTAACATCGAGGTAGTTAACAATTTTTAAATTAGATTGAATGGTGATTTGAAGATCGTTTTTTTTTAAAAATGAGTGTTATGTGCTTTTTGATTTTTTCCATTTCCTGACCGTTTTTGTTCTTGAATACAGCAAGACCGTCGTCACGATATAAGCCGAAATCTTCTTTATTATAATGTTGTGAAATTTGATACAGTATGAAAATACCTATTAATTCGCAAACTTCAGCACCATCAAATGCCCCCATTGTTACATCGAACAACCCACCTCTTTTTTTAATCCATGCTTCATCGTTGTTGAAGATAAG